GTTGTTGGATGTTGCTCCATTGTCATTAGGTATTGAGACTGCTGGTGGTATCATGACCAAATTGATTCCAAGAAATGCTACTATCCCAACCAAGAAGTCAGAAACTTTCTCCACTTATGCTGATAACCAACCAGGTGTTTTGATTCAAGTATTTGAAGGTGAAAGAGCTAAGACTAAGGACAACAACTTGTTGGGTAAATTCGAATTATCGGGTATCCCACCAGCTCCAAGAGGTGTCCCACAAATTGAAGTTACTTTTGATATCGATGCTAATGGTATCTTGAACGTTTCTGCTTTGGAAAAGGGTACTGGTAAGACACAAAAGATTACCATCACCAACGATAAAGGTAGATTGTCCAAGGAAGATATCGAAAAGATGGTTAACGAAGCTGAAAAATTCAAGGAAGAAGATGAAAAGGAAGCTGCTAGAGTCCAAGCCAAGAACCAATTGGAATCATACGCTTACTCATTGAAGAACAGTTTGTCTGAAGAGCAATTCAAATCTAAATTGGATGCTTCTGAAATTGAAGAAGTTACCAAGGCTGCCGAAGAAACTATTAGCTGGTTGGATTCAAACCAAACTGCTACTCAAGAAGAATATGCTGATCAACAAAAGGAATTGGAATCTAAAGCTAACCCAATCATGGCTAAGGCTTATGGTGGTGCTGCTCCAGATGGTGCTCCAGGCGCCGGTGGTTTCCCAGGTGGTGCTCCAGGTGGTGCTGCTCCAGAAGAATCTGGTCCAACTGTTGAAGAAGTTGATTAATTTAAAAAGATTGATTGATTTACGATGCAGAAAAAGTTTGAATGATTTTTGTTTCATGATAGATTATATTTTTAATGTAAAATTGTTTAAAATGAAGTTAAGTTAAGAGTTAAGTTTTTATTATTTATAGACAGAGCTTATAATATTAAAACAAAGTTTATAATATATGTACGATTATTTTTTAGAATTGTTTGATTCATTTTCGTAGATTTTCATTATTCTTATCAGTATCATCGCTCGTCACGTACCTGATGGTATCAACCAGTTTTTTGTCATTGTCCTCGTTATTTAAATGCGATAAACTGTTCCGCAGTCCAACTACACCTTCTGTCAATCCACCACCGTTTCCTAGTCTTGTTATGTTTCCTCCAACCAGCTGACTCGCCAATTGTTTCATTTCCTCAACTTGTAGTTTATCCATTTGATCTACTGATGTCGGTGGTGGTTGACTTTCAATATTGTGTTCATTTACTTTAGAATCATGGTTGATTGTTTGTGCTGGCACACTGGCTGCTTCTTGTTTGTTGTCGTCAGTGTTTGCTACTTGTGTTGCATCATTGCATTTTTCTTGATACGATGCTGAACTCATTATTGTTTTTTGGTGCTTTAGTGGAGTTCAATGGAGCGAGGGTTTGAGAACATAGGAATGGCAAATGCTTTTTTTTGTTTCCGTTGCAACCAGTGACACAAAAAAACTAGTCACGACATTAACTTGGGTCATACAAAGGAGTGCCCACTTTTTGCAACCAAACTAGCTGGTTCCTCTGTGTATTGGCGTATTTGCTGATATGAAAAGTGAGGTGCACGATCTTGCGTAGGCATCATGAAATATGAACAAGATGAGAAATATGTAGGAATCTATCACTATAGTTGCATTTATTTGAGACAATAACGAGAAGCGAACTGCAAGTGCTCTCACTCCTCTGGTTGATAAAGAAAAGCAATCTAAAGTATCTCAATCCCACTGATGGACTCTTACCAATGACAATGCTTGAAGCTACCACGTTCAATCGTTAAAAATAGGATGCCACCCAACAATGTTAAGCGAGACACAAACCCGAATTTTGTTGTGCACAGAAGAAGTCCAACAAAAATTTGCAATCGAGGTTTAGCATACTAAACAGCTCCAATCAAATCAAATTCTAAGTCCAGTTATCTTAGTAAAGCCAGTAACTTTCACCAATGACTGATCGGCTCACCTTGGCATCGTCAAAGCTAGTTCTCGCTGTAGAGTCAAAGAAAAAGCAAAAGAAAACAAACTTCCCGATATCTAAGAATGTAAGATTCGGCGGACTCTGTTGCGCGATTAAATTTTATAAAAGTAGAAGTGGACGTGTGCTATTCAAAAGCCTCAACGGGTTTCTTAGAACCTCGTGCAAGAATTTTAATACCGTGGAAGAATTTCCTCGGTGTAATTGGTTGGCTGTTTTGTTTACATTTTTGTTTCGTGAAGTCGAAGGTTTACCCAACAAAAGCCGGCAAGGTCTATTCTGCTTTTCTAATCTTGCATCTAGCTTATACCCAACGTGCCCATCACACTGAAGGTCTTTGCAACAATGTCAAATAGTATCACACGTCAGACGATCGGTAGATTGTCCCTATCTAGCAATGCTAACCGGTTACACCCATTTCGTCGTATAAAGCTTTCTAAATTAAGCGTAAACAGGCGCGCGTCGTATAAAGTACCATTTTAATTTTTTTACAGGATGGAAAATTGCTTCGACTAAAAGATTAGCACGGAGTCGACCAGTGTGGAACCCTGCACCTCGCGTTAATCCATCCTCCTTCCCCTCCCCTCTTTTTAATTACTCGCCGTCTCCGCAAAAAAAACATAAATTAACTAGAAAAAAGAAATGACTATTACTCTCTTACCAACAAAAAAAATTTCAATGAAATTGAAAAATTATTTTCAAACAATACAAACAATACAAACTATAATACAAACAAATATAAAAAAAATTTTTGATTAACCAAAAAGCACCCTTTTTTCCTCTTTTAACTTTTATCCTTTGATATATTTTATTTCAATTGGATACTGATCAATCTAACCAACTCACTTTGAACTTTTGGCACTGCTACTTCCGCCAATTATTTATTCCCACCTTTTCCTCCCCTCCGCACAATAACCCAAAAATATGACTGTTAAAGCTACACACAAAATTGTTCACGAAGCTAATGGTGTAGACTTTAGAGAAACACCAGCACAATTCTTTTCTAGACAGCCAAACAAGGGCCCAATCACAGACTTACAACACTACAAGGAGTTGTATCAGAAATCAATATCTGATCCTGAAGGCTTTTTTGGTCCATTGGCTAAAGAACTCTTGTCTTGGGACAGGGATTTCCACAAAATCAAGTCCGGTAGTTTGAAGAATGGTGATGCTGCTTGGTTTTTGGGTGGTGAATTGAATGCCTCGTACAATTGTGTTGATAGACACGCATTTGCCAACCCTGACAAGCCGGCGTTGATTTACGAAGCTGACGATGAAAAAGACTCATATACTGTTACTTATGGTGAGTTATTAAGAGAAGTTTCAAAAGTAGCCGGTGTTTTGCAAAGTTGGGGTGTTGGTAAAGGCGACACTGTTGCTATTTACTTGCCGATGAATGCACAAGCCATCATCGCCATGTTGGCTGTTACTAGATTAGGTGCTGCCCATTCAGTAATCTTTGCTGGTTTTTCGTCTGGCTCAATTAAAGACAGAGTTAACGATGCCAGTTGTAAAGCTTTAATTACATGTGATGAAGGTAAAAGAGGTGGAAAAATCGTCAATATTAAGAAATTATGTGATGATGCCTTGATCCAATGTCCAAGTGTCGAAAAAGTCTTGGTATACAAGAGAACCGGTAACGACGAGATCAAATTGAAAGAAGGAAGGGACTTCTACTGGGATGAAGAAACTGCCAAGTTCCCAGGATATCTTCCACCTGTTCCTGTTAACTCGGAAGACCCATTGTTTTTATTGTATACTTCAGGATCCACAGGAACGCCAAAGGGTGTTGTTCACACTACTGCAGGCTACCTATTAGGAGCTGCAATGACTACAAAGTACGTGTTTGATGTCCAAAAGGAGGATGTACTCTTCACAGCTGGTGATGTGGGTTGGATTACTGGCCACACTTATGCCCTTTACGGACCATTGTTATTGGGTGTCCCATCTGTTATTTTTGAAGGTACTCCAGCATACCCAAATTATGGAAGGTTCTGGCAAATTGTTGAAAAACACAAGGCTACCCATTTCTATGTTGCTCCTACAGCTTTGAGATTATTGCGTAAGGCGGGTGAACAAGAAATTCACAAATACGATTTGTCCTCATTGAGAACATTGGGTTCAGTTGGGGAGCCAATTTCGCCTGACATTTGGGAATGGTACAATGAGCATGTAGGAAAGAACGAGTGCCACGTTTCCGACACGTATTGGCAGACGGAGTCGGGTTCACATTTGATTGCGCCTTTGGCTGGTGTTACTCCAAACAAGCCGGGTTCTGCATCCTACCCATTCTTTGGTATTAATGCTACGTTGATTGACCCTGTAAGTGGTGTTGAACTTGAAGGAAACGATGTCGAGGGTGTATTGGTTGTCAAGGACCACTGGCCATCAATGGCAAGAACCGTTTACAGAAACCATACAAAATACATGGATACTTATATGAACCCATACCCTGGCTATTACTTCACTGGTGATGGTGCAGCAAGAGACCATGATGGTTTCTACTGGATCAGAGGAAGAGTTGATGACGTTGTCAATGTCAGTGGGCACAGATTGTCCACCGCTGAAATTGAAGCGGCATTAATTGAAGACTCTAGAGTTGGTGAAGCAGCCGTTGTCGGTATCAATGACGACTTAACTGGTCAAGCTGTCATAGCATTTGTCGCCTTGAAGGAAGCAACCGATGACGAAGCTGGTTTAAGAAAAGAATTGATTTTACAGGTTAGAAAAGTGATTGGACCATTTGCTGCACCAAAAGCCGTGATCATTGTAAACGATTTGCCAAAGACAAGATCAGGTAAGATCATGAGAAGAATTTTGAGAAAGATCAGTTCTAATGAAGCTGACCAATTGGGTGACATTACCACTTTGTCCAATCCACAATCGGTTGAAGGAATTATCAATTCGTTTGCTTCACAATTTGGTAAAAAGTAGATCTTGTGTATATTACGTATATTTCTAGAGATACCAAAGATTAGACTTAGACTAATTAAAACGAATAAAGATGTTGGTTGAACAAACCGGTTGAGATGGCCCTTCCATTTGGATCTTGATACCATATTTCTATTCATCAAGCAGCTCCTTATAATCCTCCAAGGTCAATGTATTGCCTGAAGTTCCAAGAAGTTTCTGAATAAGCCCATTGTCAACATCGTGTAGAAGCACATGAATATGGCTTACACTCCTGACACTTTGCAAACTCGACCAATTTTTAAACCAAAGTATATTGTCTTCCAGAACACCTTTTTCAATAAATGTCTTTTCCAAATATCGTTCAATAATTCGTCTGGTGAGTGGCGATATATCTCCTACAGGAGAGTCGGCATCATTGGGTATGGTTAATTTCGACCAAACACATAAATGAACCACTGAGTCTTCGAAATAGTAAGGAAACTTGTTAGGAATTATCTTTACATCGTCATCATTATAAAGAATAAGATCTTGCGGCTGTGATATTGAATATTCTTGTGATGGTGTTGCTGGTGATGTTTGACAACGAATGTCATCTTGTTTCCATTCTAGCTCTTCATTTAACACATAGTCATTTAAAGTAATACCATATGCCAATAGATCGGTTTTAAATTGTTGATAGTTGTGGAACTGCTCTTCGCTTCTAGCAAATGATTCAAGTTGGTTTGATTTTACAAATTGCTGGATTTGCGTCCAGGTGAATGGACCACCTTCTTTGACTTTGCGTTCAATCGTCATAATGAAAACTGTATATGTATAAGCAGTAGCTCCTTTCCTGGAGAGCAAATAAAAGAGGTTTACATTGTTTGCATAAATGTGTCTTTTGGTTTACTTTATATCTTTCCTCTTCATAGGGCTCTATTTTCTGTGAATTTCTCTTCCTTTTTGTGTTTATCCACGTTTTCCTTTTTAAAAACTCCGATTTCAAGATCCACCTAAACTAGCAACACCTAAATTTGAGCTTATCCATATGAATATCATTGATTCTTGGGGTATAGAAGGTAGGATTTTGCTCTATGCTGAGAAATTTGATCTTAGAAGTCCATTTATGGCCTCATCAACCTACTACTCATTAAACTATACAACCTGTCAATCAAGAAATGTAACATGGTTGCACTGCTACCATTAATGTAATGTTACATTGCAACATAAAAAATTATATGACCGAAACACAAGGACTGGTCAGAGTGTGCATGGCTCTGAGATTTAGTAACTAATCCTGATAGACACTTAAAAACGACCTCTTGACTTGGCTACTTTCCTCTAGTGGTTTTGATGATGACATGATACTTAATTCAAGAATAAGACTAGTTGCGTGTCTCCTCGTTCCATTCTAGAGCAAGTCACTTCATCAATGAAGATAACAAGCATCTTTCACGATTGCAGCCCACCGTTTTGATGTTTCTTAATGATTGCAAAGAAATTACTGCATGTCGGGGTTGTGTTTGCCATATCAGCAAATATAAAATTTTCTCTGTGTCGATCGCAAAATCCCTCGCAAACTCCTTAAGATCTTCTCAGCATACAGATGAACTGATCTTTACACTCATTGACAAGAACTGTCGCAACACTAAATCCAACGGAGCGTTCCAAGAGTCGACCAATTGATATCAAATTGATCTAGTTCACTTCACAACGCAAACTGACATAATAACAACAAGACGAAAAAAAATGGGTATCCACAAACTAATCATCCTAAGACATGGTGAGTCTCAATGGAACCATGAAAACAAATTCTGTGGATGGATTGATATTCCACTAACTGGAAAAGGTAAAGAAGAGGCCGAATACGCCGGTGAATTAATCAAAAAACATGGATTATCCCCCGGAATTTTGTACACCTCCAAACTAATACGTTCAATTGAAACTGGTTTCATAATACTCAAGGTGTTAAACAAACCGTGGGTTGACCATATAAAAACGTGGCGTTTGAACGAAAGGCATTATGGCCAATACCAAGGTCGTGATAAACATGACGTATTTGTTGAGTTGGGTGAAGATAAGAAGAAATTTCAATACATCAGACGAAATTACCATGGTTTGCCACCATTGATTGATCGTCAACACGATGAATCAATTGATGAAAAATACGATGACTTGTTGAATAAAAATATATTACCCAGAGGTGAATCTCTTTCGATGGTTATGGATAGATTAATTCCATTTTTCAAGTACGAAATTTTCGATCATCAAATGGTTCAGTTGAATAAAACAGTGTTGATTGTGACTCATGGGTCAGTGGTTCGAAGTTTGATTAAATATTTGAACAAGGTGAGTGATGATGATATACTGAAGATTAACGTTCCCACTGGTGTGCCATTGGTTTTTGAATTAAATGATCAAGGTGATTTGGTTAAACCTTATTATTATTTAGATAAAGAAAGAGCAGAAAGGGGGATTGAGAAAGTGAGAAATGAAGGGTTGAAGAAAGAGTAGAAGTGTGTGGTTTTTGTTGAATGTATATATACGGTGTCTAGGATTGTTTCAAAGTGGGATCCCGGATGTCAATTTTGCAGCAGCCATTGTAGCTCCTCTTTCACTTGCACTAAGGCGGTTGCATCAATAGATACCAGGTTTGTTGTAAACAAGGAGGAAAAGCATGCCCATCTTTTGGGATGTCTTTTCTTTCAATGTTCCATAATGTGTGGGACAGCAGTGCTTTGAGAATGACAGTGATTTGTTTATTTTTTTGATTTTTTTTTTCACTTTGATAGTTACGATGAACCAGGTAAAGCCATGTCACATCATTCGCTATGGAACCTACTCCGCTCTTTCGTCATCCTTAAACTAATCCAATTGGCTATAATATACTTTACCCCGTCTCGCTTCGATACATCATCGCAGTTAATCATTGATGACTTGGCTCAATCTTCATCAACCGCGTCACCATACAATCTTATAATCACCACCATTTTAAACAAATTGATCACTTGGGATTCAGTTTACTTCAATGACTTGTTTGCCAATGAAATTTCTTATGAACATCAGTTTGTGTTTTGTCCTGGTTGGATCAAATTGGTTTCTTTACTACCGAGTACAAATTATTACCAATTACAAATGTGGAGTGTTTTAATTTCCAATGCTTGCCATTTTGCATCGGTTGTAACGTTATATTATCTAAGCAGGACGATTTATGACGCAAAAGTGAGTTACATAGCTGCGTTGATGATGGTAATATCGCCGGCGGGTGTGTTTCTAACCACAAATTACTCCGAAAATTTGAACAATTTGACTACTTTGTTAACAATATATTTGTATTACAAGGCAATCGATTTCAATAATGTTACCACAAGGAGCAACAAATCGATCAAGAACATCTGGTTCTATCTATTAAGTGGTGTTTTTTGTGCATTTAGCTTCACCATTAGAGCAAATTCATTATTATTAGGCATATTATATTTATTAGACTTATACGACTTTAGCATTACTGATCGTGACAAGGTATCTAGTGCATTGTCGATTGCCACTGGATCCATTCTTGGGATGACATTTATTGGTCAAAATGTCTACCATTATCTCACATTCTGTCCTCAAAGACGAGGCTGGTGCTTGAACAAATTGCCCAGTTTGTTTCTGTATGCACAGTCACATTATTGGAACAATGGATTTTTATCATACTGGTCTTTGAATAACGTGCCAAATTTCATTCTTGTTGCGCCCGTTTTAATTTGGAATTGTTATTCAGTTAGGTCCACGTGGAGAGTGCTTCCTCAGTATCGGAAATTAATGCCTCTTGTTGTTTTAAATACAGCTATAATCATTGGTGGTGTATTCTTTTGGAATGCACAGATTTTGAATAGAATTACTAGCTTTTCACCATTGATTTACTGGACTTTAGCTTTGAGCTATAACAAGTCATGGATCAAGTATGTCTTGGGGTATATATTGACTTGGAATTTGATCCAAACTGCACTATTTGCAGCATTCTTACCACCAGCTTAAAAGGCGGAGTATTTGAGACGCTACCGTATGAGGTTTTTTTTTATTTTCTTTTCTTTTGGTTTGTTGTTTTGGTGGTGCAGTTGCTGCGAATTTTTACCTAATTGGGTGCAGAGATACGACGGTTATCACTAGCCTCCGTCATTTTTACTTCGAAAAAGGGATATTAATACGCACAGTCAAGTGGTGTGCCGCTGCTATCTATTAATATATATATTCTTGCATCTGCTAGCATACCCTCAAGAGGAAATGAGTGGAACTTTGTTTGAGGCCATTTATGGAATCAAATGAATTCGACAACAGAAACAGCTACCGTCTCTAGCGGATGGTTACTGCAGGTCCTCACAGAACAAGCATTTATACTATTTACCATCCCTATTTGCATCTTATTTGCCTATTACACCAAGACCAAAAATGATAAACTGAAATTGTCGGCAAAGAGTAAACCAGCATCAGGTAAAACATCAGCATCTAAGTTGGACCAACGCCCCTTTGGATACTGGGAACCCAATCATTCATTCAAAACCCCAACTCCTCCTCCATACCCCAATTGGTCAGTGACTGATACCAAGCCAATACCATATCGTGCATTCAAACACAAGTATAACGTAACCATGGGTATACGAAACATGGATTGGAACTCTTGGATTGAGTTGGACAATCAATGGAAGTTCTTCCATGATTTGAAATTGAAACGCATTGCAACCAAGGGTGATGAGTTGTATAGAACTAGTCCAAAGGGAGTTGCTGCATCGTGGGAGTTTCTTGAAGAGTTGTTGGATTACTTACCAGTGAGATATCCCTCGTTGTTTCAATATGATAAAGAGAAACGTATAGTCAAGATTTTGGCTACTGATGAAGTATATGATTTGAATGATAAAGACTGCAATCCTATTGTGACGGCTGCCAAATTGATTCAGGATGATATTGCGATAATGGTTGAAAATGAGGATGATGGTCAGTATTCATTAGAGCTGGGATGTGTTACATTGGCTGGATTTTGGAAAATTAAAGACAAGTTTCAAATGAAATTGGATCAAATACACACTTCGGGTGATGTGCCCAAGTACAGAACGCATTTGGGCCCCGCCATGAATAAATTTTTCCGTCGTTTAACTGTCGAATCCCCCGTGGTGCGTAATAACTATTTTGTTCAAACTGATAACCATTTGGATTGGTCTTCGTCAATTGGATCAGAAGATGAATCAAATATTGGGTGGAACACGGCGCCTGATGCTACTGATATCAACAATTTGTATTTCCGAAGTGAACGTCAAAGCTTAAGACGATTACCTAAAACTGGAGCGATTTCATTCACTGTACGGACGTATTTCATCCCCATGGTTGAATTGTGCAAGGAGCCATATATTCCAAGAAGATTGTTGAATGGAATAACTAGTTGGACTGAAGATGTTGGCGAATACAAGGGGTTCCATAAATTTAAGGGCGTGTTGTTGCCCTATTTAGAAAAAATGGCTGAGGAGCAGGAATCAACTGGATTGGATCTGATGCTGGAACCACAAGTGTATCCATTTTGAATGCGAAAGTATAGTTCAGTATTGGTGTGATTTATTTTACAAGTTTGTGAATATTTGTAGCAATGTAGCAGAGTCCTTCTCGTTATTAAATTCTGAGTTTTCATATCCCTAATTTGTTCAATGAAACAGCAATTTGGAATAGTTCTACAGCCCATGCAATATGCAAATTTGATAGGATTCTTATTGATACGCAATATCTTCAAGTTTTTCAAATTTCCAAGCTACAGTAGGATGCCAGAAAAACCACACTCCCTCAAACAAACTTTCTCGAGTGATTCTGGAAAAACAATATCCTCATCAAATAACTGACAACTCGATAGATGCCAAAACTTCAATGTCGAGTGAGATCCAAAGTTTAGCTTTTCTTCTGTATCAAAACGACAGTTAGTAAGGCGCGAGTTGACTAGAGAATCATGTATTTGAAAACTCTCAAGCGTATAGGCCTTTAAAGACAAATGAGGTATGTTCATTGGGATACAAACCCAAGATCGTTGTTGGCTCGAAATGAGCTTCTAAAATAGTGGCAAACCCAATGAAAACTGTTGTTGTTCAGTGTTGCATTTCTCTTTGATTAACAAAGACCTATACACTCATAATTCTTTAAGAATCTACTGCACTATTTATACACTTTTAGATTGTACTGTTTTTATTGATACTTACATTAAATCAAAACCCCCATAAGTTATACTGTTCCTCTCCAGTTATAGTAACACTCTCTCATGGATACTTAGCAGAAGTATAATATTATCTTCCCTTCTAAAAATGTTGGTTACACACATTTTTATGCGTTTTATCACACACACTTTTCTATCCCTTTTCTCTACAGATAAATGAACACACACATAATAATCTTCTACACTTCGCCGTACAACCAGTGTTGACCTCATCATACCCACAAACTTTAATCACAACATACAGGAACAAGAACCACGAAAGACTGCTGAAACCCCAACAGCCTAAATACATACCTGTCTTTATATGCTGAGTGATGTAGAGTAAAGAAGGAATTGTAAGGAAACTGCAAACGTACTATACTGGCATCAATGGTAACGTATTATATAACAAAAAATGTTAAACAATTCATTTATCTCTTTGAATGCACTTCACAGTTAAAAAAACACCAAAGTGTGATTCTCAAATAAATCTGAAATTGATCAAATTAATGTGATAATTAACTCCCCTTAGGTGTTGCGCAATTTTCAAAGCAAACATTCGCAATTGCGCATGAGCTCATTGTGGTTTAAATTTGCGGTTTTTATAATAATATTAAGATCTATCTGATGTTTTATTATTTCTCAAGTATTATAATTATTGGTCTAGTGTGTATGTGGCGTTGGTCATCCAATGGCCTTGGTGCATCAAAATACATACATATACAACCTCAAGGCTTGTCAGTGCTACCAAATTCTGATATAATTAACCTTTTATTTTCTATTGTATCTGCGAATATATTATCCAGTTTAAGTATCTGCCGCTAAGACTTATTTTTATTCTTCTTTTACACTATGAGTTGGTTGATTTTAAGTTCAAATGGGCAGATAAAAGATGAGCATTGCAAAGAGAAATATCGATCTATATAAATGGTAAACTCTGCTGGGTTGAGGCAAAGAGTGAGTCTTCCTTTGCTTTTCGTATTACAAACTATCACACCTCAGAAATAAACGGATTTCATAATCATGAGTCAAAGTTTTATCAATGCATTAATCAACAATCCAGTCTTTATTATGGCTATTGTCCCTATATTGCTTGCCGTGGGATACTACTTGCGTAAAAGCTGTTGTCCATTAACGAAATCAGCTGCATTGCAGATAAGCAGCATGGCAAAAGGCAAGAATGAAAAATCTGCAACAATCACTTCAGCCCAAAAGATGGCTGAAAGGCCATTTGGGCATTGGGAACCTGATTACGATTTTAAAACACCAACACCAAACGAATATAAGGGATGGTCGTTAACCGATACCAAGCCAATTGCTTATCGTGCATTTAGACACAAGTATACCGTTAATATGGGAATTAGACCAATGGACTGGGACAATTGGATTGAATTGGATAATAATTGGTTAAAGTATCACAATTTGAAGAAGGAACGTCTTGCTGAAAGAGGCGATAAGTTGTATGCTATTGATCCTTGTGCAATGGATGCAGCATGGGAAGTTCTTGATGAATTGTGTCGGTACCTACCAGCTAGATACCCTACAATGTTTGAGTTTGATAAAGACAAGAGAATTATGAAGATTTTACCAACTAAAGAAGTATTTGATTTCAATGAAGAAGGCTTCAACCCAATTTTAACCTGTGGTTTGTTAATTCAGGATGATATTGTCATTATGGTTGAAAGTAAAAAAGATGGTTCTTATTCATTGCAAGGTGGGTGTGCCTGTTTACCAGGATTTTGGAAATTGACTGAAAAGTATAAAATGACATTGGACCAGCTTCATACCGAAGCAGGAGTGCCTAAATACAAGAGCCATTTAGCTACTGGTATGAACAAGTTTTTCCGTCGTTTAACGGTAGATAAACCTGTTTTCCGTAACAATTATTTTCTTCAATTGGATGGATATTTAGGATGGTCTAAGTCATTGGGTGATGAAGATGATGATAAATGGTTTGGCTGGAAAGTGGCCACTCCAGCAACTGACATTTCTGATATTCATTTCCGAAGTGAACGTCAAAGTTTGAGAAGATTGCCTATAAGTGGTGCCGTTATTTTCACCGTTCGCTCTTATTTCATCCCCATGACTGAATTATGTGAAGAGCCTTATGTACCAAGAAGATTATTGAATGGAATTACTAGTTGGACTGAGGATGTTGGTGAGTACAAGGGGTTCCATAAATTTAAGGATATTTTATTGCCATACTTGGAAGAAAAGGCCAAGGAGCAAGAGGAGCAAGGATTGGATTATTCAAAAGAGCCTCAGAATTTCCCATATGGTGCTTAGAGAATAGAGAGTTTGAGCAACTTTGAGTAGAATCCATACATATGAATATTTAAAAATAGAAGATTTTGATAATTGGGTACTGCTTCATTAAACGTAACCCACTCTAAACCAACTACAATTTACATAAACAAGTTTCTAATAATATAACTTAATATATATTAACTACTAATACAAAAGAATTAAAAAAAAACTAATTGACAGATCACTGTTGTTTTACCCAATAACAAATAACAATAATGAAAGAGAAATATGTTTCTTAATCCCTCAAAGATTAAGCTCTTTCACCTCTCAATCTTCTAGCCAATTGAATATCCTTCTTTTGAATAGTAACTCTCTTAGCATGGATAGCACACAAGTTGGTGTCTTCAAACAAACCAACCAAGTAAGCTTCAACAGCTTCTTGCAAAGCACCAATAGCAGAAGATTGGAATCTCAAATCAGTCTTGAAATCTTGAGCAATTTCTCTAACCAATCTTTGGAATGGCAATTTTCTAATCAACAATTCAGTCGATTTTTGGAATCTTCTGATTTCTCTCAAAGCAACGGTACCTGGCTTATATCTGTGTGGTTTCTTGACACCACCAGTAGTTGGGGCGGATTTTCTAGCGGCTTTAGAGGCCAATTGTTTTCTTGGGGCTTTACCACCAGTGGATTTTCTTGCTGTTTGCTTAGTTCTAGCCATTGTGTATAATGATAAACTTAAAGTATAAACGGAAAAGAAAGAAAAGGAGAAATGGAAATGGAAATTTGGTTTGGGGGAGAAAGTTGATGATTTTTAAACCCCAAAGTGGAAGCTGTGTAAATATGTCATTAATGAGAGAGATAATTTAAACTTAACGTGTGCGATTGTTTGTTGTTGTTACATTAAGGAAATTGCTACCTAGGCTTCTTCTTCGTCCTCGTCCTCTTCCTCTTCCTCTTCTTCTTCTTTCTTCTGTTGTGCTAAGTAATTTTGTGGTTGATACGCTGTAGACTAAAGAAGACAAGGAGAATAATGTGTTCTGAAATTTACACATAAATTCTGGTCCATCTCTTTCCATGTGTGTACTGTATATAAACCACTTTTTCCTTATATCAGTGTCGCAAATTGGGGTCGTGTATTGGAGAATAAAGAAAAAATGACATTCTTCTGTCACTGGGCTGACACAAAGTTAGATTGCAAAAAAACAACAAACAAACAAAAGTTAAAGTGTCTTTTGTTTGAAACAGAAGAAACAAAAAATATTTTATCACTAAAACTTACTCGACTTCTTTCTTCAATGTTTGCTCCTTTGTTACTTCTGTTTCATTCAGCCTCCTATTTTCTCTCTCTCTCTCTCCTCTCCTCTCCTCTGGAAAAGAAGTCACACAATTTGTAAATTTTGCTTTCAGTCTGTTTCTTTTGGCGTTTGTTTAAGCGCCGAGACTCTCTCACAACTTCCTTTCTTCGCATTGTCTCGTTACACTTCTCTCTTGTCTCTTGTGTTACCTTTGCTACTTTTTTTTCGTTCCTTTGTCCTCCCTTCAGTACTCGCCCTTCTCTCCCTTCGCTCTCTTCTCTCTCTTTACCTCTCACCTGTTTAATCCCAGACCATACACACACATAACACACAATAGAAAAATAAATTTTAGTTACAAACCATTCACTCACACGCTCACACACACACACACACACACTCTCTCTCTCTCTCTCTCTCTCTCTCTTTTGTTCCCCCAATATATAGTTGATAGATTTCCCCTAATCAATTTTTTTCCCACTTTCTTATAATCTTCTTCTTCTTCTTTTTTCCTTCTTCAGTTTATTTGTTTTAAACACATAACCCCCATTTTAACAAATACATATACTATAATCATCAACAATGTCTGGTAGAGGAAAAGGAGGAAAAGGATTAGGAAAAGGTGGTGCTAAGAGACACAGAAAGATCTTGAGAGATAACATTCAAGGTATTACCAAGCCAGCTATCAGAAGATTGGCAAGAAGAGGTGGTGTTAAACGTATTTCTGCCTTGATTTACGAAGAAGTTAGAATTGTTTTGAAACAATTTTTGGAAAACGTTATCAGAGATGCTGTTACTTACACTGAACACGCAAAGAGAAAGACTGTTACTTCATTGGATGTTGTTTACGCTTTGAAGAGACAAGGTAGAACCTTGTACGGTTTCGGAGGTTAAATGTTGCTGTGTTTTTGCATGTCACTATTTTAGCTTATTATTATTCAGTTCGGTCATTGGGTTCTTTTTTTTAATCTATTAATAATTGATTAATTAATGTATAGTAAGGGTGTATCCAACGTCTTATATCTTTTTTGTTTTTCCTTTTTTTTGTATTTTGCATTTTTGTATTTTTCTTTATTAATATATTGACGAACTAGATTCGTCTATTTATTAATGAATGTGATTACAATTTTTGTAGTGGTGCCGGTGTTGGTGCTGGCACACCTTTTGGTTGAAAAGTTGGTGATAAATTGGACCGAACGGAAAAACAAAAACAAAACCATGTATTTAATCCAGAATATAAAGTGCTTGTTGGTAATACAAGTTAGGCAGAAGTAATAAGACTCAACAGAAGTATACTTGTTGTAACAAAAATATAATTTATACGACGAGTCAAAAGCAAAATGAATGCAATCAATTCTATGAACTAAATCTTCTTACATAATACCTCTTCTGCCATCACCAACTCATTCTTCTTTCTCTTTCTCTTGTTCCTTTTCCTTTTCCTTTTCTTTTTCCTTTTCCTTTTCCTTTTCCCTGTCTTCCTTAGCTTTAGCATCTGCCAATCTTATCCTATCTCCAATTTCACCCGAATCAACCACTTTCAAGTCAACCTCTTCACTTAGTATTCCCTTTTCTTGAGCAACTTCAATTATTTTCCTCAATTCATCAGTGGAAAACTGACCATCAAGTGGGATCTTCCCCTGAGGCACCTCCATTCCGTCATGATCAATCTCTAGACCATATTCTTCTTCTTCTCCTTCTCCTTCTGACTCGGTTTCTGGTTCAGAATCCAGTATTTCTTTGTGTCTACGTGTAGTATAATGGGCCATCTCGATATCCTCTTTTTCCCGCTCTTGTTTTGAATGAGCCTTTGACTTTGACTCATTTTCTTCTTGCTCTTGGCCTTTATCTCCATCTCCATTTCCATTTTCTTCCCCTTCAAGCATTTCTTCTGGTAATATTGGATGTTTTTCGATAAGTTCCTCGAGTTTCGTTGTGATCGACTCTTCAATAGAGTCACTTCTTTGGTTTTGTTGGGGTGGCTGTGTATATATCTCTACTCTGTCTGTACTCATATTAGTGTAAATCTGTTATTTGTTGTTAATGGGAATATATTCAAGTAAATATGGAAAAGGTAACTGAATGTTTAATTTCTCTTAGTCTTGAGAATGTAGATGTATTTGGACCTGTTTAAATGATGAAAAGTGTATGTGTGTCTATTGCTTTTGTTGTTTACAAATGATAAAGGCTGAGTAAGTAATTAATTGCTATCGGTAAGATTTGGTTATAAACTTTAACTGACTTTCTCCCCACAATGCATATATTTACTTTGTGCATTTGTTATACATTAAAAACGAACAGAAAATATAATGTAACGCATGTTTTTAGTGACGTAATGAATTCCTAAAATAAAAGGTCGTGTAATTTTGACATCCACAGTTTTCTTTGTCAAATTTGCAACAAAGATAGAGAAAGACTTACGAATTGGCTTTGGCCAAAACTTGGGTCATTACAGTGGCATGGGAGACTTTGGTGAAATTGAGAGCAAAGTTTTCTTTTACAGCTGGTCAACATTTGACGAGATACAGGCCATTTCTAACTTATTCCTATCCTCTATAACAGTGCAAAGCACCATTCTCTTTCTGCTACTCCAACTCCAGACCATCGGTTCACTTTTGTTTTCCTTCCTTTTCCTCCTCCTCATCCTTCTCTTTCTTTGATATTTCTCTAATACCATTCAAAAAATTATCAATTCCTTCACCTTTATAATCATACTTTAAACTTTGTGCCAACAAAAGCCCCGCTCCTTCATTTGCCCGCAATTGCTTACTCAATTTTTGCTCACTTTGTTGGAAAAATCCACTTCTTATAACATCGAGAATCTTGGCCTTGGTGGGGTTTTGCGCAATGGATGGCGGTAAATATTCACCATACATTTGCTGCAACTGTTCTAATGAGAGATTGTCCAAGTGGTTGTCTATTGTAGATATGTCCAAAACAGATGATATTGACCCTATTGGGAGTTTAAATTGAGGTTGTTGCGGTTGGGATTGACCTGTTGGAGCTTGTTGTACAGATTGCGCTGCTGCTGCTGTTGTTGTTGTTGTTGTTGTTGTTGCCGTTGGTTGAGTCCCTTCATGTGGTTGACTTTGACTTGTCTGTTCCCCCTCTTTATCTTCATTCATACTACAAATTCATTAGTTAGCACAATTGTTTCTTTCATTAAACGGGTTCCAGTCATTATATAAAGAAAATACTTACTCAACATCCTCTTCATCGTCAAGGCTAACCAAGGACGATATCAGTTGAATCAATTTGTTGTCCTTTTCGGTCAACTTCCCAAGATCATCAACATCTCCAACATCTTGCAACCAATAAAGATACTTTGCCCCACTACTTAAAAAGGTAAATGCAAATACTCGTCCAGTATTGCAAGACTTTATCGTTTTAATTGTCACATCTCCGGGAATTAACAATAACTCATCTTTTTCCATCTGTTGCGTTCCGTTAATCTGCAGTGTTTGGTCCTGTTTCGGTGTCCATGTGAAATCTAAGAAATCAGGCTCTTCTGCACTTGGCTTGATGGAAATCACTCCTTCATATGGCAATGGTGTGCATCGATTCGTGTCTTCATTGTATTGCACTTTACCTGCGTGAAACTTTAGTGATTTAGATGCTGATGTCATTGCTTACCAGGTTAGCTTAAAGGTCTATTAAAAAAGTCTAAAGATATGGATGGATGCTTGTGGCAGGTTGTGTTTGATCTTTTGGTTGCCACTGAGATAATTAATGAAAGAAAAAAAAATCAAACCAAACCAAACCAAATCAAACTGTTACCAATACACTACCCAATTTTTTTTTTCAATTCAGACTTCAACTCACCGTTATATCATCCACATTATCATCCACATTATCATTACTGATGGCGTTCCCACCACTGGAAATAACAGAAATAGTTCAGGAAATTGCTTCAATTCTACGGTCAAAGAATCAGACTTTGGCAATATCGGAGGCAGCTTGTGGTGGTTTGATATCAGCGTACATAGTCTCGGTTCCTGGTGCATCAGACTTCTACATTGGTGGTAAATTACTATATTCATTGAAACAACGATTGAAGCTTTCTGGCTGGTCGGATGAAGAGATTGCCAATTATATGGGTCCTAGTGAACAAGTGGCCTTAAAATTAGCACGAACCGCAAGGTATGAATTAGGATCGACTTATGTGCTTTCAGAAACTGGGTTTGCTGGTCCATCTACTGATTTGCATTTGTCTAATAATAAACAGACAGATGAGGCAAGTGTGACTGGTGGTGGGGTCAAGAATAATGACAAGGATGTTGATAATGGGGTCGCACCGCATGTGGGAACAGTATTTCTCGGATTTACTGGACCCAATGGTGATTTCTCAACTAAAAAGCAATTTGGAAATCAAGATAGGTCAAAGAATATGAGTGAATTTGCTAAATTTGCTTTGGAATTCTTGTTGGAACAGTTGCAAAATTGAGTGGTTCTAGTGAGCAAGCTTTATGGGTAAAAAAGCACACGTTTCGAATATTTTTTTATTCAATATAGGGACGTAAGAGGTATAGCAGAGGTCTTTAGGGTATGTAGTGACTGTTGTATAATAGCTTTATTAGTGTCAAAAGTTGAATTAAATAATGACGGTATATTTGGAATATTTTGCAACATTTTGTTAATAAATTTGTACAAAAATATAATAAAAATCTGAATATTGATAAAAGTGGTATAACACTTCCAACTGTGAACAAATACCATTATAAAAAACACCTCGAGTTGGAACCTTACTCAACTAAAAGTACATTCAGTTATCACCAATAGTCCAAGGATTCAAGGTGAGTTCAATTTTTGGGTCATGTACCTGTTCTTTACACAACTTTTATAACACCAAAAATAAAAAATCCTTACAATCCACTTTTGGAAAAATTGCTCAGCACTAACCAACTTAATAAGGTTAAAGAATAGCATCTAAAGTTACCCTCCATAGGTCTCAGTACTATTCAAAAAATCTTAAAAGAGAAGTATACTGTAATTTAGAGATAGAGTCACATGACCACATCACGTGAATTCCTGACGCGGTTCTGGGTTTTGTTTTAAATCGGAATTCAAGGGAAAAAAAGAGACACACAGATCAAAAACTGGAAAAGGGAAAAAAAGAGAGAAAAAAAAAAAAAATAAAAAAAGACAACACGAGTGAAAAAGGTTTTGTTGATTGAATTGAATTGAATCCATCCTAGATATTCACTATACTTACATCAATACAGTTCCATCAGTAGTCGACTTCATTGTCAGCTTTTAGAAATAATAGATACATAACATCCCAATCACAAGGAAGGATATAATCGTGAACTTTATCACCCATTAGTTGTTTACAAACAAAAAGAAAAACACAGATCAACACCAAATCGCCAATCAACAACAACACAAAGTATTTCTTCCCCTCTCCCCACCACACTTGACAGAATTATATACACAATATGACTTCAGGTATGTTTAAAGACACCCATCTGTAGTTTCTAGAATTGATTATACTAACGTTTTATGTCCCAGTAGTCGATCACCTGCACGCACCACCTAGTTCCACGTCCCAAGATATCAAAATAATCAAAAAGGTATTAAATGGTTACGTTGGTTTTGCAAACTTGCCCAAACAATGGCATAGAAGATCTCTCAGGAGAGGCTTCACTTTCAACATTATGGCTGTTGGTGAATCTGGATTAGGAAAGGCAACATTGATTAACACTCTTTTCAACCGTGATGTCATGCACAAGAGTGGTAATAAGTTAAACAACCTTGACGAAGATCAAGAAGATGACTTTGAAGATGCTGAAACTGAGCCACTGGAGAAGGAAGGAGAAGTCGGTGTTAATATCAAGAGTACGGAAGCAGAAATTGAAGAAGATGGAGTAAAGTTGAAAGTTAGTGTTATTACTGCACCAGGATTTGGTGAAGCATTAAACAACATTGATTCATGGAAGCCAATTGTTGATGAGATAAATAATCGATTCGATTCGTACTTGGAGGCTGAGTCACGTATCAATAGATCAACTGTTGTTGATAATAGAGTACATGCATTTTTGTACTTTATTGAACCAACTGGCCATTCATTGAGAAGTTTGGATATTGCCTTGATGAAGCAAGTTCATGAAAAGGTTAACTTGATTCCAATAATTTCCAAGTCTGACACATTGACTGATGAAGAAGTTCATGAATTCAAACGTGCCATTTTAGCTGATATCGACCACCATGGAATCAAAATCTTCTCTCCTAGTGTATCGGAAAATGAAGATGAAGAAGTGGTTGCCAACACCAAACACTTGATTGAGACTTTCCCATTTGCAGTTATTGGATCAACAAATGAGGTTCAAACTGGTGATGGGAGATTGGTCAGAGGAAGAAGATATCCATGGGGTGTTATTGAAGTTGATAATGAAGATCACAATGATTTTGTTAAATTGCGTCAATTGTTGGTGAGAAATTTCTTGGAAGAATTGAAAGAAACAACGGCAAACGTATTGTATGAACATTATCGTACTGAGAAATTGAGAAAAATGGGTATTGAACAAGATAATGCCGTGTTTAAAGAATTTGATCCTGCCACCAAGCAAGAAGAAGAAAGAGCTCTACATGAAGCTAAGTTGGCTAAAATGGAACAAGAAATGAAGGCAGTTTTCCAACAAAAGGTAAGTGAGAAGGAAAAGAAATTGCAAAGATCAGAAGCTGATTTATTTGCTAGACATAAAGAAATGAAGGATAAATTAACCAAACAAATTAAATTATTGGAAGATAAAAAGGTCCAGTTGGAAAAACAGAAATTGTTGCCACAAGAACCATCACCACAACCTGCCCCACAAAAGAGTCGTAAAGGTTTCTTACGTTAGAGGGTGAGGGATGAGAGTGCCATTAGCAAAATGAGAGAAGTTGCATGGTAGTGGTGACTTGGTGGTGTATGTATATGTCTTTCATTCAGTTTTAAGAATATCCCTATTTCAACTCTGTTCTGAATACAAATGTATAAAGAGTATAAGTAGATGAGAGAGAGAGAGGGAGAGAGTGTGAGTGAGTGCGTGTATATTAGTCGATAGTAAGTTATAGTTGACAGGTGAATGTGATAATTTTTTCAACCCTTTTGCTGCTGAATCTCCCTTTAAGATTTATCTTTACTACTTCAAAAGTTGAAATGAGACCGTTGATAGGATGATCATTCATATGTAGAATGGTCTGTTTACATAGGCTGTGTGTATAGATGTGTGTGCGTATTGTGTTTTTTTTTTGTTATGGACAGTGGAATGGTAACAAAAGTATATTATGTGACTACTGGTAGATTTGAAAGAGGAGGTGAAATAATAGACGATGGGAGAAGAAGAAGAAGTTTTGTTAGCATAACTGCGTAGCGGAGGAGAGAAGAAGCAAAAGAAGAAGAAGAAGTTGTTTAGTTTGGGAAGATCAGCCGTGGTTACTTTTTAAGTAGTGATGAGATGGACCGAGCTATTGAAATAAATGTCGTATGACGTAAAAGTAAAAATTGAAAGAAAAAAAATGTCACAAGAAAAGAAAAGAAAAGAAAAAAAAAAAAATAAAATTCTCTTTGTTTGCTGTTCTCAATCATCATCAATTAAATAATTTGTTTTTATCTTCCTTTAAATTGCCCTTTGAAAAGGAATTGTCATCAATCAATCAATCAGTCAAGTGATTACACTACATTCTATTCATCTTGTTTTCCTATTCAGACACATCAATTGATTAACACACACACATACACACAAGTTCACTCAGATAGATTCAAAGTTTATTTCACTACACAATTTCAATCTCAACAATAAAGAACGACAATTATGCCTGCAGCCACATCTAAAAACTCGACTCCATCATCAGCAAGTTCCACTCCCAAACAGGGTCAAGTAGACACCGACAAATTATTAGAATTGGTTTACACATTACAGTTTGCTTGGTTTGTTGGTAATGTACTCACTTTATTTGGTTTTATCGCCAGTACTTTAACATTTCTTAGAATCTTGCCATCTTTGTACAAATTAGATTATTTGCTTACATTGTTGGGTGTTTTGATTTCATTTGGAATTTTGGTTTTCCAATTGGTGCAAAAGAATGGTCTTAGGTTTGGTATTTTAATCAAGGACGATAATACTCATTATATCTTGCTTGGTGGATTTTTATTGTTTCTCAGACCTTATGTCTGGTTAACTTTAGTTCCATTTGCTATATTTTCAACATTCCATGTATTGGCTTATGTCAATGGATACATTTTACCAATTGTTGGATTAGACAAGAGCAATATATCATCAACTATTACTAATTTTGTCAGTCAAAATAATGCTAAATCAATTGAAGCTGCTAGCGGTATTGAATTGGTTACTTATGTTTGGTTGCTTTTGAGAATGATTACTTTTAGAAAAAGATCATTGAGTCCAGTTTTGGTTTACACTGTGTTTTTGAAGAAGAGATACGAAGTTAGTGCTTTTACTAGAGGTTATGTCAAGGTAGTGGCTGATGCTGGTGACAAGATTGTTAATGATGTTAACCATCCTGTTTTGCGTGATGTCTGGGCCAAGGTTAGAAATGTGTTTGGAATTGTTGATCAATACAAGTTAGTCAATGATTACACCCAAGAAGGACAAAAGACAAAGTAGATGTGTGTGTTGCTAGTGGAAAGTGAGAAAGAGAGAGAGCGAGAGGGAGAGCATTAAGGTCTTGTGTTATGAGTTAGACAGGGAGAAGTGGGGGTTCTATTCTTCATTTTTTTTATACACTTTAGCAAAAAGCTAGTAAATAATAAATGTTTTGTTTAGAAATATAGAATAGTACGAAGCTGTTATTTAGCCAGATCTGTGGCTAATAGAAGATTTTCGTGCCAGGCCACTTGTAGTGCCCTGCTTCTATTAACCAATTGGTTACAGGAAAACAACCGAAGAAAAAAAAGGTGTAGCACTAGATCAAAAGGCAGAGTGTTCCTCTAGCTCCTTCACACACACACCCCACACACCACACAATGCGACCGAATACACAAAGAATAAACACACTACCGTTTTATATCAGTCTACTATTGGGTGGCTTACTAATTCTTTTTACTTTGAAATCCTACACCTCGAAATTAAATGGCCCCGATAAACCTAGCTGTCGAGTGGTTTGGATGTATCCATCCTACATCAAAATCAATTCCTTTGATCAACTGCATACCAAATACGCTTCGAAATATTCAACATACTTGTATCGAGAACAGGGTAGGGATAAGTTACCTTCCGATGAAGGAGATAATGATGCTGTTTCGAGCATGGAATTAGAAGGAGTACCGGTTTTATTCATACCGGGAAATGCTGGTAATCATAGACAAGCAAGATCAATTGCAGCAAGGACATCAGAACTATATTATGAGATGAACGATAGTGGTGGACGAGAAGGAAGAAGATCATTCAAGACAAGACTTGATTTTTTCACGCTTGATTTTAATGAAGATTTCACAGCATTCCATGGTCGAACTATACTAGATCAAGCAGAATATGCCAATGAAGCAGTTAAATTCATATTGGATCTATATTCGAATCGACCACATCCACCGAAATCAGTCATTGTTGTCGGCCATTCCATGGGTGGCATAGTTGCGCGAATAATGATGACCTTGCCTGATTACCTACCCAATTCAATTGAAAATATAATAACTTTAAGTTCACCGCATTCAACATCCCCATTGACTTTTGATGGTGACTTGTCAACTGTTTATTCAGCAGTGGATAAGTTTTGGTATTGTGGGTTTACCAATTGTTCCAGCTCTAGCTCCTCCTCATCCAAATCAAATCAATTGGCGAGGGTGGCTCATGATAGGTTGCATAATGTGGCATTAATTTCCATCACTGGTGGGGCATTGGACTCAACATTACCGGCAGATTATACAACCTTAGGTTACCTTGTTCCCAAAACCAATGGATTCACTTCGTTTTCCACGGGGATGCCCCAAGTATGGACCCCCATTGATCATTTGGCCATTGTATGGTGCCAACAATTACGAACAAGGATTGCATTGGCATTACTTGAATTGACCAGTCTTGCTGATGGTGAGAATACGCTAAGAGATCGAATGAGAGTATATGAACGATATTTCCTAACTGGGTTTGAAGATTATGTGACTGAAGATAAGCGATTACCTGTTGTTTCAAAAGAGGATGCATTTGGGGGAGAGATGGGGCAAATGAATAATAAACTCGAGGAAGATGTGATTTATACTGGCAAACAACTTGGCTCACGCAACTTGTTGACTTTGGATAAAGATAAAGACTATCAATTTACTTTATTATCATCAGTCCCATTACAGAGCTTAACACAGGACCATCAGGACCCACAATTATCAGTGGGATTATTTAATAAAGAAGGAGATGGCGCTGTGAAAGACGTGTCATCATTACAAGCCACAATCCCTAACTTCAGTAAAGATGCGAGCGATGTATCTGATTCTTCATATGATGGACCTAAACAGCCATATTACAGTTTAGTGTTGAATTCAACCATGTTGAAACAATATTCTTCTATTTTGTTAACCCTACCACAATATCAACAAAGTTCAGACATATATTGTCAATTATCGACCAAGCGGACACATTACTCATTGAATAAAGGCGGCAATGGTGTTTTATCATGGTTTAAATTTTTCACAAAGGGTCATTCAATTAGCTTGCCTTCAAATCGACTATTATTGACAAATTTCAAAATCCCTCAAGCATGGAGTAGTTTATATGTTTACAAGTTGAAATTGACTAGTGGTGGCTATAATCAAAATCTAAATGGACACTATTTCAATACATTTATACGACAATGGACTGAAGATCCGTTTGAAAGTAAATGGTTTATTAACGTTGGGAAGGACAAGAAAGAAGATAGTTTACAGTTGACTATGCATGGAATATCTCCTTTTGTTCCATACAAAACACAATCTGATTATGGGTTGAATTTACAAATGTGGTCCAGCGGTGATGGTAGTGGAAGCGGAAAAATAAAAGGAAAAATGAGACGCCTACCAGTTATAGACATCAATGTGTCCATTGATGTCGGTGCTAGTTTGAAATTATTGATTCTACGTTACAGAATCACTATCGTGGCGATGAATATTGCTATAATCTGTCTTGTTTTAGTGGTACAATTTGGTCAATATGGTAATGGTAGTAAGACGGGTAAATCGTTCCCATCATTTGATCAACTGTTGATATACTTAAATGCAAGATATTGGTGGGTGATTGTATTGGGATTGATATTGGCCAATTATGTAATCAATATACCTATTGTCAATAAGGTGTTGCATTATGTTGATCCAGTGGTTTTACAAGATTATAACAAGTTTCTTATTACCAACAATGAAGGTGATGGCAATGAGTCCCAATTTAGATCAAATGGGTTGTACTTGGGATTGACCCAAAGCATTTCCATAATTGGAGTATTGTTATACTTGTGTTGTAATTTCGCCATCTGGATAACTTATATTATATTGATTGCAATGGGCACAGTGATAAATTATGGAGTTAGGTTATACCCAACTAGATTTAGAGTCAAATCGACTAGAACAAGATCAATGTTGGTTAAAGTTCAACTTTATTTCATGGTGGTTGTGGTGTTGTTGATCCCCGTATATTTGCCGTATCAGATTGTATATTTGATTTGCTGTATTCATCAAGTGATTAATGTGTTGAAAGATTGGCCATTATCAAGAAGAAGAGGAAAAGGAGGAGATAAAATAGCAGCAGCGGCAACAACAACAAATACATCAGTAACAAGTGGTGAAGAAGAGGACGAAATAAGAGCAGTTTCATTGCTCAATTATCAAGCATCGTGGTTAATGTTGATGTTATGGATATTACCTATAAATGTCCCCATTTTGATTGTGTTTATTCACAATTTACAATTGAGTTGGCAAACTCCATTTAGTAGTCATCATAATTTACTTTCAATATTGCCCATTTTATTAATGACTTACTATAATAGCCACAACCAAAACAAGAAAAAGAAAGGAAGTAATGGCGGCGGTGATGCCAGTGGTGGCGGTGGATGTATATTACCTAGATTGAGTTACAATAGTACAAGACTAGTTCAAATTGGAGTGGGATATATTGCTATTTATTCATTATGGTATGGAAGTAGACATACTTTTTATATCCATCATTTGTTTAATTTGTTGTGTTGTTTGATTTGGATTGTGTTTTATTCAAGTGGTGGTGGTAATAGTAATAGTACGGGTGGGTACATTAACAATGGGGAAGATGGTGGTGGTGGTGGTGGCGGCTTTAAAGAGGATGGATTGGGTTTGAAGTTGAGTTGACTTGTGTTGAGAATTAGTTGTATATATAGAGAGACAAATCTATTCCAAATAGAAACATTAAAGACATAAAGTACTTTAAAAGTAAAGATTTCATACAGTGTAAAAACAGTAATACACAGTTATTACTTCAGAAGATTGCTGGAAGAGTATACTTTTGGAATCAATAACCAAGAATAAGATGATATTGTGATTACAGAAGAAACAACTTAAATAGTAATGATACACAGCTTTTATTAAATAAAAAAAAACTGAAAACCTATATTAATAATATACATATAAATTAACTAAAGAAGATGACCAATCATTTAGATAAAGTATTTCCAAACAGTAAACAAAAATTAGAAGTGAATAAAGAAACAAACAAACAAACAAAAAGGGGAAGATTATTCCTTTTAAGTTAGGTTGTTTAGTTTGAGGCTGATGAGTATTTGGTAACAGCTCTAGTACCTTCAGAAACAGCATGTTTAGCCAATTCACCAGGCAAGATCAATCTAACAGCAGTTTGGATTTCTCTAGCAGAAATAGTAGATTTCTTATTGTAAGCAGCCAATTTAGAAGCTTCAGAAGCAATTCTTTCAAAGATATCATTGACAAATGAATTCATAATAGACATAGCCTTTTGGGAAATACCAGTGTCTGGGTGAGTTTGCTTCAAAACCTTGTAGATGTAAGATGAATAAGTTTCCTTTCTGGCCTTGGTTCTCTTCTTTCCACCTTCGGTTGATGAGGAGGTCTTTTTAGCGGCTGGTTTCTTTTCAGCTGGAGCTTTTGAAGCTGGTTTCTTTTCTGCTTTTGGAGCCATTGTTAATAATAGTATAAGTTAGATTAGTTGTGTACTAAAGATAAGTAATAATGAAAAGAAAAGAAAAGGAAAGAAAGAAGTTGTGTATAATTTATTTGAATTTGAAAAGTGGAATTTAAGGAATATTTATGTCACAGAGGAAAAACAAAAAACAAAAATATAATTAATAGACACTTACTACTTACTAACCAAAGTCAAAACAACAAACAAACAACACAGGTGGATTAGCTAGTAAGTAGTTAGTTATTAATTTGTGTAATATGCTCTAGTACTTCCTATGCTAATGTAATTGTTTATTTGTTTATTTGTTTGTTTGTGTATGTATCTGTATGTCTTCCACTACTATTATTTCTTTGCCTTCGTGTATTGAGGAAGACAAAAAGTTCTCCTGGTGAAAGAAGAACGATCGCGAGGCTACTGAGGAGAGAGAGAGAGATTGCCACAAGAGAGAGCGAGAGTAAAGACAGTGGCGCGTAGAAAGAGAGTGGAAAAAAGAAGGTCGTGTTATTTTGTGGAAGTTTTCTCTCTACGCGCTCTTGTCTTCTTATCATAAACAAGAGTAAAATTCAGTCCAAGGTGCGTAAATTTAAGACCCGAGAATAGAAAAACATTTTGTGTGGAGAAGATTTGTATCCTACAGCAAAAGACAATAACACCATTAATAACAAAAGGCTTGGACTAATACACAATGGCACGTACATTGTGACAAGCATTGTGACAAGAGAGGAAAAAGGAGAGAAGAGAAGAGAAGAAGGAGAGAAGATGAAACAGGAGAAGGAGATGAACAGCAACAGGAGAAGATCACCAAAGTACACGACTATAGTAATAGTCTTTAACTGCGTAATCTTTGTTCTTCTTGACATTACCTGTTTTGGGCGATATGTGTATGTATGTGTTTGTGCGTGCGTGTGTGTGTTTTGGATATTCTCTTCTCTTCTCTGTCTCTCCTCTGTCTTTGTTACTCTTACCTCTTACCTCTTACCTCTTACCTCGTGCATATAGAGGAGTATTGTTGATAGTTTCTCTTTATGTCTTTACAGTTGGTAGTTGTGTCTAAAGGAGAGGCAACAAAAAAAAAAATATAAAAACAATTGATAATTCCCTAATCCTAAAAATTCACTTTAATCTAATCTTTCTTTCTTTCTTTCTTTCTGTTATAGTCAGATTATTATTACTACTTTTATTAATCAAACTAATATCTATTATATAAACAATGTCAGGAGGTAAAGGAAAAGCCGGTTCAAGTGAAAAAGCTTCAACTTCAAGATCAGCCAAGGCTGGATTAACTTTCCCAGTCGGTAGAGTCCACAGATTATTGAGAAAGGGAAACTATGCTCAAAGAATTGGTTCTGGTGCCCCAGTTTACTTGACTTCAGTCTTGGAATATTTGGCCGCTGAAATCTTGGAATTGGCTGGTAACGCTGCTAGAGACAACAAGAAGTCAAGAATCATCCCAAGACACTTGCAATTGGCCATCAGAAATGATGAAGAATTGAACAAATTGTTGGGTCACGTCACCATTGCCCAAGGTGGTGTCTTGCCAAACATTCACCAATCTTTGTTGCCAGCTAAGAAGGCTAAGGGTGGTGCTTCTCAAGAATTATAAGCTAATTTTTGAAAGCAATATAATATTTTGGAAGGGAAATCACATGTTACATGTTTGCACGTAACATCTGGGTTGAAGAAGAAAGGTACTATAATTCCCAATAAGAGCAACCTTTTCAATTGTATTCTTACAAACAAAACCTTTTTTTAATTCTTTTGCTTTGATTATGAGGTTTTATCACCTTTGTATATTGGGGTAAATTCTGGTGTATATTATTATTATCATTATTATCATTATAATTATAAATTCTTTTTTTATATTTCTTTGGCTATTGTTAATGACTTTAACTGTAGTTTGGTGAGTCTTTGCTGGATTCCTCAGTTCTGGCCCATTTCACGGGAGAAAGAGAGAGGGAGAGAGAGTCCTTTGAAATTTTGTTGCTGAGATAAAAGCAAGAAAGCAAAATTAATCTATCCAATTTTCAAACTCAAGACTACACTAAGACTAGTTGAAGCACTTTCAACAATGGAAAAGTTTTCAAACTGGAGAGACAAAGCTACTGGTATATCACCATTTATGCCATTCCCATTCCCCCATTCGGCCAGTAAAGGAAATAACAGCAGTAGTAGCAGTAACACCTACAAGTTCATCACATCTTCCAAATTCAATGCAATTTTATACAAATTTATATTATTTTGCACCAAATTACCAATATTCTTGACTAAAGTACCATTTTTCATCATTGTTTCAACCCTATATACATTAACTGGATTCAAACTATTCCTCACTTTTACATTTACGTTTTTATTTGGGTTTAACCCCATTGAAATTGCCGTTGATGGTGTCAAATCATCACAACGTGATAAATTGCAAAGCTATAGACCGAAACGGGGTGAATTGGTAATTGCCAATTATTCATCTCCTTTGGATGGATACATTATTGCTTCAGTATGTCAGTCATCTTCCAATATTGTCATTCTTGTGCCTGATAAACAAGGCGATTTGTATCAATACACCCCATGGAGTTTAATTGATCATTGTTTTAACCAAATTCAAGGCAAGGGCCCAGTAGAAGATGTGTCCAAGTTAAAAGATAAGTTAGTGGTGTTGCTATTAGAAGGTACTACGTCGAATAATTCGGCATTGTTGCCATTTATCAAATTGAATGACAAGTATACCTGGGATGATTTCGACAGGGTAAAGTCATTGGTTATTAAATTGTATCCCAATTATTTTACATTGCCAATCCCTTATATTTCAAGCTTGTATTATCTTTATCAGTTATTGACTGATTTTACTAGAAAGAATGCCAGAGTCAAGATTTATGACTTTGATAATACCGGAAACAACAACAACAATAATAATAACAAGGGTACAAAGCAGTTGGATATATCTAAAATTAGACGAACTTTTGAATTGAATTCGTTGAATTTGATTAATCAGGATTTAAGTATTGATGCCAAAGCGAGATTTATTGATTACTATTTTAATCATAGTGTTAAGTAGACACACAAAAACTTGATCTTTATCTTTGGCTGAGTTCTTGTTTTATCCGGAGACGGGAGGAGAGTTTTATCGACTTCAAGTTTCGGTTCGTGGTATGTATATATATATATAGCTTCAATTATCCAAAAGAAAGTTCCTTCTTTTAGCTTAGGTCAGTCTTGTTGTTTCTTTGATTCACGTGTAGGACTACGGTCTCGATCTTTTCTATGGGATGACGACGCCTTGTCTCTTGATCGATGTGACCGATGATGTGACCTATGCCTACCACTACGTGATGACTTGTGTGTCTTTTCTTTTGACTCTTTGGTTTCAGTTATGAATTGTTCCATAGGATCAATGAACTCGTCATCTTCATCAGCAACAGCTTTTTCATCAACTGACATCTTCTCCCCAAAAGCTTGCATCGGGTCTGCAAACTCATCTTCCTTTGCATCTTCTTCTGTGCGCTCTTCTCTTTCTTCTGAATTGGAATTGTATTCAATAGCTTTTCGTTCAGATACTCCATCATCATGATCACTCTTGATTAACTTTACTTCTTTACTCTCTTCATCACCCCTTTCCAACTGTTTCCTCACTTCGTCGTAGTTGATCAAATAATCATCCTCTTTTTGACCACTTCGTAGCTTATAATAACTATGATCAACATGTAACATTCGATCACCAACTTTAATGCCATTGAAATTATCAATAGCTAGTATACAACTTTTAAAATTGGCATATTTTAAAAACGCAAACCCACGATGCTGCTGCTGCTGCTGCTGCTCTTGTTGTTGGCCAACTTCACGACTTTTTACTAAATTTAAATGAGTTGGTATACCATATTGACTGAATATAACTACTAGATCATGAGGTTTAATGAAGTTGGGGATATTGCTGATATAGATGTAGTTTGTATCTCGATATTCATAATGCCACGAAGATTTGTATGAAGTTGTACTTGATGCTAGTTCTTTTTGGTTTATTTGGTTTATTTGCCTGATCTTGTTCATTACTGAATAACGTAGAGGTATGGAATTTATCAATGTCAATTGAGATATGGGATTGGGGGATTTTGGTTTGAGCTTTTGAAACTATTTTGTTTCTTGGTGTGCATATAAATGATTTCAATACTGAGGAGATGAGAGAAGAGCATATTTTTTTTTTCACATCTTCATTAACTTACTTACTTAACGTTTACTACACACAGTCACTACAAGACATTCATTGAACATGGCTAGGACTAGGGGCGATTCCAAGCTGGTACCAGCGCCAAAGATGGAGGATTTGGCTTCTTCAAAGAAGAGAAAACAAGATGTTGAAGATGAAGATGTGGAAAGTTCAGACGATGAGTTTATTGTTGAAGGAATGATAGATCAAGGAAGTGACGACGAGGATGAGGATGAGGATGAAGAGGAACAGGAAGAAAATGGAGAAGAAGAAGAAGAGGAGAATGAAGGTGATATCAGTGAAGCAAGTCAATCAGACTTTGATTCTGAAGAAGAACTCAACAAATTAATTGGAGAAGAAGAAGATGAAGAAGATGAAGAAGATGAAGATGAAGATGAAGATGAAGAAGAAGTTGATGCAAGTGATGACAGCTCGGTTGAATTTTCAGATGAGCCACAAGATGATTTATCCGATGTCAATTTGAAAAATTTGACGGTGAAAGACCCATCAGGAGCTCAAGATATTCAAACCAAATACTCGGATGGAAGATTGAGAATTATTAAACCAGAAATTGAGCCCATATATGATAGCGATGACAGTGATGCTGAAAATTTCAATACTATTGGTAATATCCCCATTTCGGCATACGAGGAGATGCCTCATATTGGTTACGATATCAATGGTAAGAGAATTATGAGGCCTGCTAAAGGGTCTGCATTGGACCAGTTGTTGGAAAGCATCGATTTACCACAAGGATGGACTGGGTTATTGGACCAAAACACGGGTACTTCGTTGAAATTGACCGATGAAGAATTGGAATTGATTAGAAAAATCCAAAAACAAGAAAATACCGATGAGAATATCGATCCTTACGAACCATTGATTGACTGGTTCACCAAAGATCAAGAAGTTATGCCATTAACAGCCGTGCCTGAACCCAAAAGACGATTTGTTCCCTCGAAGCACGAAGCTAAACGAGTAATGAAAATAGTCCGTGCTATTCGTGAAGGACGAATTTTGACCCCAGAAAAAGCCAAAGAGCAACGAGAAAAGGAAGATGATGAATTGAATTTCGATCTTTGGGATGATGAAACTGAAGTTCCTGATCATATAATGAATTTGCGAGCACCCAAATTACCACCACCAACAAATGACGAAAGTTATAACCCACCAGAAGAGTACTTATTAAATGAAGAAGAACGTCAAAAATGGGAAAATGAAGATGCCATTGATCGTGAAAGAAACTTTATTCCTCAGAAATATAAGTCTCTAAGACAAGTTCCTGGGTATCAAGACAGTGTTCGAGAACGATTTGAGCGATCATTGGACTTGTACCTTGCTCCTCGTTTGCGTAAGAACAAGTTGAATATCGATCCTGAAAGTTTAATCCCCGAATTGCCATCGCCAAAGGACTTGAGACCGTTTCCTATACGTTGTTCAACTATATATGAGGGCCATACGGGTAAGATCAGAACTGTTTCAGTTAATCCACAGGGCATTTGGTTAGCCACTGGATCCGATGATGGAAGTGTTCGCGTATGGGAGGTTTTAACGGGGAGACAGGTGTTTAAGGCACAAATTATTAACAAGGAACATAATGGTGAGGATCACATTGAAAGTCTTGAGTGGCATCCTGATTCCGATACTGGTATTTTGGCAGTTTGTGCTGGTGAAAATGTCTATCTCTTGGTACCACCTATTTTTGGCTTTGATATTGAAAACAGGGGTAAATTGAGAATTGAAAGTGGTTGGGGTTATGATACGTTTGGAAACAAGAAACAGGATATGAAAGTTGGCAACGATGAGGAAGAAGGTGACGGTGATGGTGACGATTCTGGGGCAACAATTTCCACCAAGAAGGATGTGGCAAAATGGATCAACCCCACTGCTACTCAACAATTACAATCCATTTCGGCAATTATACAGTGCCGTAGAGCTGTCAAGAAGATTTCCTGGCATAGAAAAGGTGATTATTTCGTGACGGTTTCCCCCGATAGCAAAAACACGGCAGTTTTAATCCATCAATTATCCAAACATTTATCACAATCGCCATTCAAGAAAACCAAGGGAGTTATAATGGATGCCAAGTTCCATCCTTTCAAGCCACAATTGTTTGTTGCTTCACAACGTACCATCAAGATTTATGACTTGTCGCAACAAAACTTGATTAAGAAGTTGATGCCTGGTGTTCGATTATTGTCCACCATCGATATCCATCCACGAGGAGATAACTTGTTGGCGGGTTCTTATGATAAGCGTGTTCTTTGGCACGATTTAGATCTTAGTGCTACGCCATACAAGACTCTAAGATATCATGACAAGGCAGTACGGACAATCAAATATCACAAGGGAACATTGCCACTTTTTGCATCAGCTTCTGATGATGGAAGTATACATGTGTTCCATGGTACGGTGTATGATGACTTGATGACTAATCCGTTGTTGGTTCCATTGAAGAAATTAACTGGACATAAAGTGATTAATCAGATTGGTATATTGGATATTGCTTGGCATCCAAAAGAGGCATGGTTGTTTAGTGCGGGTGCTGATGGTACTGCTCGTTTATGGACAACTTAGATGTATAGAAGAGGAGAGGTTCAGTTTGTTGTTATATATAATACAATAATTGTTACAACGTATACATACACTATCTAAAATTACACCAACGCAGTTATTGACTCCTCTTCTCAAAGTAGGGAGCAGCACCACCAGGTATATATTCATCACCAATCAAAGTGGTATTTTCATACTTTACTTGAAACAAGTCATCTTCATTAGACTCAAACATCTGCGATAGATTAGCTCGTATATTATCAACCACTCCTAAATTA